TGTGTGTGTGTGTGTGTGTGTGTGTGTGTGTGTGTGTGTGTGTGTGTGTTGTAGAAGGGATGGATCTCGTCGTGATTGCTGATGATCTGTGACCCTGTAAAGTGCTTGGCATGGACTTGGGGCCTCAGTGTCCAAGGCTGCTGTCAAGGTGACCCCACCCATGGCCACAGGCAGGGCTGCATTGCGACTTCCAGTGCCCTGCATACTTTGGCCTTTGCAATCCCTCAGCCATAAAAATATTATAAAAATTATATTCAATAACTATTGGTATAAAAACGAACATACTAATATTATATATGAAAGCATTTTCTTCTATTTAGAAGTTCACTTTTTTCTTCTGATTTTCAAAGAAATGAGAACATTTTCATGGGCCCCTAAATTATCATGGGCTCTAGGCACTGCACCTCGTGTGCTCAGTGGCGACAGGCCAGGGGACCTTAAAACATGCATTAAATTTATGTAAAAAAAACCCCAAAGCAGGGGAGAGCATATACACATGTTTATATACACCCAGAGTACTTCAGAAAAGACACAAGAGAAACTAGAAAGGGTATTTGGCTCCAGGAGGGAAAACTGGGTGGCTGGAGACAGGGGTGGGAGGGAGTTTTTACTGTATACTCTTTTGTGCCTTTGGAATTTTGTACCATGTGAATGAATTCCCTATTCATAAAAATAACTAACAATTTAAATGGGTGGAGGCTTATTCTAAAGCAATATGAGACTGTTCAGCGAAGGTGGAAAAATATGGGCTTTGGAGCCAGAAGCGTGGTTTAATCCCAGCTCTGCTGCTTCTGAGCACCTGATCGGAGCAGTGAGGGAGGCTGTGGTGAACCGCAGAGCTTGTCACCGAGGCCCTTGGCTGGCTGCCTCCACGTCTCAGCCTCAGTTTCCTGTTCCCTGAAATGGGGATCATAACACCTCCCTTGAAGGGTGCTCGAGAGGATTAGCCATGAATTATGTAAAGCGGCAGAGCAGGCTCTCCCCAGATGCCCACTTTCTCTCCTCCCCCCTTCCCCCAGCGGAGTGAATGTGGGACGGTGGCAGGGACCTGAATCGCCTCTTTCTCTGGCCAGCACTTGTTTATTCAGGCCACCTTCCGGGCGCTGGCCTGTGGCTGTGGGCCTCCCTCTCTCTCTGTCCCTATACTTGACTGGCTGCTCAGGCAGCTGCCTGGCACGTCAGGGAAACTGAGGCTCCAGCTACTCCAGAGATTACAAGTCCTGTTGCCTGCAGGTGGGTTGAGGCCAAAGCCAGAAAAGCTTGAAATTCAGAGGACACTTAGAGGCTGTCAGGCATCACACCTTGAAAATACACTTATCAAAAATGCTACTCAGAGGGTGGCCCACGCCTATTAGAAAACGTTGGCCAGTTCTGGCCAATTTGGATTCAATCAGTAAACATTTAGTGAGCACCTACCTATTGTGTGCACTCCCCAGGTTTCAGTTTCTCAAAGAAGTTCAGGCTAAAATAACTTTCATATTCACCAGTAACCGACTGCATTTAGCTGTAACTAAAGTCAGCTGAAAGAAGAACTTCCTGAAACCAAGAATGGCTAAGTGCCTAATCAGAAGTAAGGCCAGGCAAAGTGAGCGGAGAACCTTGTCACCAAAGGTGAGCTCTGTCTGAGTTTGGAGTTTGAGGTACCTGACGGGATCCGCAGCTTTTCGGGTGATTGCCGAGGATCCTAGCAGAAGGGCCATGGGGACTGAGGGGCCGTTCTGCTCTTACCCCTGGCTGCGGGGCTCCCTGGAGGCCATGTGCCTTCAGAAGGTAGAGAGATTCCATTCCCATAAGAGCCCTGTGGCTGAGAAAAGCCCCAGAAGCCCCAAGCAGAGGCAAAAATGGAGCTTGGCCACGTGAAGAGTTCCTGGGAGGGAAGTGGAGCTCAGAATAAGCCATGTTGTTCTAGCAAAGAATAGGGAGATAACCTGAGACAGGGGACAAGGGAAGGATTCTAGAGTGACAGGTTCCACCTCCAGTCTGCCCAGCCAGACTTTGGATACTGCTGGCTTCCTGGGGGGTGCAGAGGGGTTAGGGTGCTTAGGCGTTAACTGCTTTACCACCTGAGGTGTGTCACCACAACTAGCCCAGGCAGAGAGAAGTTTCTAAGTGAGCTCTCCATGTCCCCATGGGTCCCCATGCCTCTTGTATATATTCAGGCACTCTCACGGGTAGGAATTCTTCTGTAGGTCTGACTTAATTCATATTTGCTATAACCAAAGCCTGTTACCTTGAGAGGTTAATCCCGGAAACTAGACATAGGAGCAGCTTCCATCTGTGACCATGGCTCTGAGGCATTTGACAGGATTGATCATATACTCTTGCTTAAAACCCAGAATTCTAAGGCTGAAGGCTTTGGAGCCAGGCAATCCTGGATTAAAATACTGGCTGTGCTCTTTCTGGCTGGGTGGCCTCAGACAAGTTACTCAGCCTCTCTGAGCTTTAGTGTCTGGTACACCAACACTTCAAAGATAAAGATTAGTATTATTTTATTATAATTATTTATAAAAAGTGCTTAGCACATAGTAAACACTATAGAGTTGTATGTTAAATAAAATATTAGGGAAGGAAGGATTGGAATAAAAGAAGAATAGGAGTGAGTCATGTTTTATGCTTTTAAAGATCCCCAAGGAAGAATTCCAAAACCTTCCTTGGACACCTCTTGCGGCAAATCACCATCTCGGTGGTAGTGTTCTCTGCTGTCTAGCCTGATTCCCTCCTGCTGCAGCTGAGGCCTAAGTTTGCCCATCTCAATCCTGCCCTCTACCCTGGCCCCTGGGCTCGCTCCCATCACATACCCTTCCCATCCAGCCCCCAAGGGGGAAAGCTCCACTTACTGCTTGGGTCCACGGTCCCGTTCACAGCGCCCATCCCAGGGGCAGGCAGAGAAGTCGGTGCCTGCCACGTGCCACCTGCCCCCGTCCTCTGCCAGGGCTAGCAGGGCCACCCCGGGGCGGGGGCTGTGTTGCCGCAGCTGGCCAGGTGCCCCACCTCGCAACGGGTGGGCTTCAGGGAGAAGCGGGAGGGCCACGTCAAAGCCGGGCCGGAATGTGTCCACTGTGGGACTGGCCTCGGCCACCATCGCCTGTCCCAGCTGGAAGGTCCGGGGGCAAGGGGCTGGGTGGAGACTGAGGACCAGGTGGTTCCTGCCCCCATCCCACTGCGGGGGCACCGGGTCGCACTCTCCAGTGGGGGTGTCCGGGCTGAGGAGGAGGAGGAGGCAGGCCTCAGCAGCGTTGAGCGTGTGGTAGCGGGAGCCCTCCACGGAAGCCAGGATCCTGTGGCGAGTCTCAGAGACGGGTCCAGCCGCTGGGTACACGAATACCTTGAGGCCACCACCTCTGCATTTCGAGGTGTCAAAGCAAGCTCCCCAGTTGCAGCTGCCACCACGGAGGGCTTGAGGAGGTTGAGGGCCATCTTCCAGGAGCTCCCCAGGCTTGGCGAAACTCTGCAGGAGCTCTGCGTCCAGCCAGCGGGGCCAGCCTTGGGGGGCTCCTGCCCGGGGGCTGGTGGGCACTGCCAGGCGGAGAAGGGGGAAGAGTCCCAGCAGGACGAGGAGCCAGGAGGCCAACAGTGCCAGCCAAAGGGACCTCCGTCTCCATGACTGCATGTGGCCACCCACAGCCAGGGCTGCAGGAGGCAGGAGAAGCAGGGGCCTGAGTGTAGGCCTCTGGGACTGGGATCCACCTTCTAGGTCAGCACCCTCATCATACAGATGGGAAGACTGAGGCCCATCGAGGGCAGGCTGCCTGTGTAAGATCAAACAGCAAGTCACAGGCCAGGCACCGGGAGGCCAGGTAGGACCCAGCTCTCTGGCCCTGCCTTCCTGTGGTCAGGACTCTGCTTCCTCGGCCTTTGGACAACCAAGCCAGCCTTTGCCCTCCCAGCAGGGCCCCCTTCCCCTGGCGCTGCTCAGGCTGATGCAACCCCTGTCCAGACTGTAAGGCAGTGTCCTTCTGCCCTCCTGGCTGCACCCCCTGACCTTGGCCTCAATGGAGAGGAGGGCTGTCTGCCAGGCCATGGGGGACCCATGAGGGTTCCCACAGCAGGCGGCTTGGCCGGGGTGCAGGGCTGGGTGGAAGCAGGGCTGGTCTCCCCAATCCTCCCCCTGCCTGAGCAGCCCCAGAGCAGCCTGGCCACACCTGTGCCCACTGGCAGGCACTCCCGGGCTGTGGACCCTGCAGCTGGTGCTTAAATTAGACCCTGCATCCCATGTGGGCTCTCAGAGTCAGCTGAGGTCAAGGCCTGAGTGCAGCCAGTGGCCCCTACCTGGGGGGCTGGGAGGGCTCTGGGTCCTGGTCCTCTCCCACCCTCCCACTGTCTTGGCTTAGGTGGCTCGGCCCCTCCTCCCTCCAACGCTAGTAGCTGGTCCTGCACCCTCTGGCTTGGAGCTATCAGGGTGCAGAGGCCAGGGACCCCATGCCAAGCCCCTGCCCCATGGTCCCCAAGCCCCGCTGATATCTTGCGTCCCCTCTCAGGGCAGCATCTGGCCAGTCTAGACCTCTTTCCTAGCGGCAGCCTGGCTCCTCCCCTGCCAGCCCTGATTCGCTCCTGGCTGGGAGGCAAGGTCTCCACTTAACCCCTTCCAAACCCGTTTTCTGGATTGCTATTAATAATAACCCCCAGGGCCCACACCTCACAGTTGACCTTGAGCTCTCACAACCTCTGTCTCTGAATTCTCACATCAACCTTCCAAGGCCAAAGTTTATCACTGTTGTGTTTTCTATGGATGAGGAAAGTGAAGCTCAGAGAGGGGATGGTATCTTATAAGGTGACCCAGCTAAGGAGTGGCAGGGTGGGGATTTGAACAGGAGCTCCTGACCTGAGTCCTTAGAGCTTCCCACTGGTCACCACAGATGGGGGATTCGCTCCTGGCTGGTAGGCAGGCTCTCCACTTAACCCCTTCCATCAACAGATGAGATAAGTGAGGTGTCAAGGGGCTGGGGGGCTGGTACTGGGCAAGGTGCTCCCAGCTATTCCCAGGATTGGTCCCCCTTCCTTCAGCTACCCCGCCCTCACCCTCCACCAGTCCTATCCAGCTCCAGCTCCAGCTCCAACTTTTTCAGGCCCGTTCGTGGAACCTTACACTCAAGCGCACAGGTCAGCCCTTGCCTGGAGCTCTGTGGGAAGGGTCTGTAGGACCGGATGCTTACTCCAGTTCATATGGGGAGTTCCTTCTGAGGGTGAACTGACTCTCCATTAGTCCACACCCCACTGAGGGTTTCCCCCCGTTCAGTTCTTGGGTCTGTGCTCTACGAGGGAAGTCAGGAATGGGTGATGTCACCCACTGAGGAATCGCTGAAATGATGAGAGAGAGAGAGACTCTGGCTGCCAGAAGCCCCAGTCTGACGAGGGCAGCCACAGGGAGCCCGGCAGACCTGGAGTGGACTCTGCTTCTATCTCTTACTGGCTGGATGATGTTGGGCCTCTGCCCCCTCTTCTCTAGGAAGGCAATAATAATATCTGCCATGAGACAGTAGCCTGGTCAAAGCTAGGTCTACCCTCTGGGTGTCCCTCAACAAGTGGCAGCCTCCTGCTTCCTTGCCTTCTCTGATCTCAGAGAGCCGCTGATCTGATGAGGGAGCCACCATGGGAATGTTATCCCCTCAGTGGGCAGCCAGTCTGGGGTGGGGCACAGTTCATACACCCAAGAAAGTCCTCAAAATGGCCAACAGACGGGGAATCTGACCTCTTTGCACTACAGGGTCAGTCACTAGGTGAGGGGCTGACTTTCCTGTGTGCATCGGGTTCTCTCCCGCGAAGAGGGGCCGTTGCACATGCTGCTCCTGCCTTTCACCTTCCTCTGCTAACTCCTCCTCACCCTACGGGGATCAGCCCAGGGCTCCCTTCCTGTAGGAAGTTTCCCTAACTATCCTCTGGCTGCGTTACAGAGCTCCTCTAAGTTCTCATGCCATTTCTTCAACCTCTGTGCCTGTACTCATTCATTCATTCATCCAGCAAATACTTAATGAGCACTAAATATGGGCCAGGTTTTGTGCCAGGCACTGCGGATGCAATATTGAATAACGATAATAGCTAACATTCATATTATACTTAGTATGTGCCACGCATGGCTCTGAGTGCCAGTGCATTAGCTTATTTAATCCTCTCTTGTGAGGGCTTTGAGGGAGATACTATTATTATCCCCATTTTCCAGATGAGGAAATGGAGGCCCAGGGAGCTTAGGTAACTTGATTCAATTCCCCCCACACCTCAGCCTGGATTTGGACCCAGGCCATCCATTCCTTTAACTTCTGCACCATTCCACCTCCTGAGCTAGAGGCATGGCCCCGTCCTCCCAGGCTCACTGTCCCAGGGAAAGAGAGACCAGTAACCAAG